GGCGCTGGCGGAAAAAGGCTATAGAGTTCCAAAACACACCTCTTGTGTCTCATCGGAACTGGCCTACCAAGAGATCTGTGTTCCGAAGCCTGTAGCTCCCAGTCTTCCCAAGCTTGGTACTGCGCAGCCTGATACTTTCGCATCTGGTCCTCTGCTTGCCGATAGTATTCCACCTCCTCCTCGTGGGCTTGGGCCTGGTGCTCATTCGCCTGCTGTTCCGCCTCCCTGCATGCTCGCTCCTCATTTTCCTCACGGACATGGCGATCCACATCGTTCTCCAGAACCTTCGGCTGGGCGTCCACAGCAGGCATTGCCTCAAAGCTGTCTTCCACAGCGATGGCCCTCGGCTTGACAACGATGTGCTCCTGGATGCCCGGCATGAAATCCTCAAGTAGCGTTCCCCATTCTCCCAACCAAGCCATGTCAACTTCTCCATGAGAGGCTTCCACATCATCACTCATGCCAATCAGGAGTGCATTGAACTGATCCTGTTCCTCAGTCCATTGTTGAGGGTTCACGATGTGGAGCAAGCGAGCCCTCAGATGGTTGATGTGGGACAACCGTACGGGCTTGGGTTGTGACACCATCTGCCTTTGCAAGGTCATCAAAAGTCGATGCCATCGACCAAGGCGATCCTGCTCCACCCTGGTTTGAACCATGACCACCCCGTCATCGGTATCCTCCTTCTGGAACAGGTGAGCGAGGGAGATGCGCAGAAGCCCCGTGTCATCGACCTCCACCTCCACCGTTTCATCATCCGCCTCTAAGTCCCTCGGTGGCGCTCCATGTGAGAGAACGCTGGCCATATGACAGGCTTCCGAGACCTCAACCATCAAGAACCTCAGCAAGTGCACGAACCCCAAGGTCATCATCATCTGTCTCGGCGGATCCAACTGTTTAGGGTTTAGGGTTTAGGGGTTTGGGGTTAGGGTTTAGGGTTTAGGGTTTAGGGTTTAGGGTTTAGGGTTTAGGGCTTTGGGTTGTTGGGGGGTCAGGGCCTCAAGGGAGAAGCTGAAAACAGGAACCGAGCGCTCACCGTCCTTCATCCATGCTCCGGCGGTAACTCCGGCTTTGTTTATAGCCAACCCCGAAAAGTTGGAAAAGGGATTAGGGACAGTTAGCCTATACATGGCTCTCACGGACTGAGGCTATTGGGCTTCCAACTTTTGGGCTTAAACCCATAAACCCTAAACCCTAAACCGTAGAGCTTGCAGTGCAGTTTGGCGGGTTTCGGGATTTTTCTTTCGGGAGCAAAGTTCCAAAAAACATCGAAATCAGTTGCCTACCAAACCTCTCAATGTAGGGTTCAGGGTTCAGGGTTTAGGGTTTAGGGTTTCGGGTTATTACAACACCCGCCAAAACCTCAACCACAAAATCGAAAAACCCTAATCGCTAAAATCCTCAGAGGAACTCCTAAGCCCTAAAACCTAAAAGGCAGGTCCTCGCGCATCTGGTCATCCACCAGGGCGCGAAGTTCGGCCTTTGAAAACGGGCTTTGGGGTTTAGGAATTTAGGGTTTAGGGGTTTAGGAGTTTAGGGGTTGAGGAGTTGGGAGTTTAAGGATTTAGGATTTTAGGGTTTAGGGGTTTAGGGAGTTTAGGGATTTAGGCTGGGGTTGAAGAGTTGAGGGTTTTAGGGTTTGGGGTGAAGAAGTCCAGGGATTTAGGACTTGGGGTTCAGGCTTTCAGGATTTGGGGCTTAGAGCGCAGGGCTCTAGGCTTTGGGGTCGTGGTTTTTAGCTTTGGGAGTCAGGGTTGAGGGGACTTCCAGGTTCAGGATTTATAGGGTTTAGGAGTTCAGTGCTTCAGGATTTGGAGTAAACCGTAAACCCTGAACCCTAAATCCTAAACCCTGAAGCCAAAAAATGTACACAGCGACATCCGCAAAGGTGCACTCTACAGACCTGCACCTCTGAAGTGAACACCCAACATGAGCATGGCTTTCGGACATGGTGTTTGTGTTTAGGATTTAGTCAGGGTTTAGGATGAACCCCAAGCCCTGAACCCTGAAACCTGGATTCGGGAATCTAAGACAAGAGGCTCGAGCAAGTGTTTGATTGAAGCGGTCCTTGACCCTAAACCCCAAACCCTAAACCCTAAACCCCTAAACCCTAAGCCCTAAACCCTAAACCAGTCCTTGAGGCAGATTCTTAAGATACCCTGTCTGTTAGGGCCGTCATGCAGACCGAAGAGCATTGAAAGGATCAACAACATGGGTAGTTCTCTATATTCAGGTCCCTTTTAAGTCCCAAATATAGTACGGCACCCGTATAAACAGGACCCTAAATGGGACCCTAATTTAGAGAACTACCCACGTGCCCACCCGAATAACAAGCAACCCTCCCCCGCACTCCCTCGTAAGATGAGCGACGTGAGAACGTGGACCCAAAACAGCTCTGCGAAGAACCCGTAATTTCTACAAACACCGTGGACCCTCAATCGTCGTTCGTCGGATCCTTACTGCCTACCACTTGACGGAAGCCCAAACCCATCTCAATCACCCAGAACCCTTAGAGAAACCATATCGAAGCCCTTGTAGCACCTCATAGAACCTTTGGCCTTAGCCCTGCAGGCCCTAAACCCTAAACCCTAAACCTAAAGCCCTAAAGCCCTAAACCCTAAACCCTAAACCCAAAGCCCTAAAGCCCTAAACCTAAAGCCCTAAGACCTAAACCCCAAACCCTAAACCTAAAGCCCCAAACCCTAAACCCCAAACCCTAAACCCAAAGCCCTAAACCCTAAACCTAAAGCCCTAAGACCTAAACCCAAAGGCCCCTCTTCCAGCCTCTACGATGGGAAAGACAGACTTCCGGGCCAGGGCCAGGTCGTAGCGCTGATCGAAGTTGTGGCTCTCGTCTTTGTTCTGGCGAGGGTTTAGGGTTTAGGGTTTAGGGTTTAGGGTTGCTTTAAGGCTTCGCTCCTTTGAGGCTTTCTGTAGGGGTTCCCTTTGAGGGTCGCCGTAGGGTTTCGGGTTTAGGCTTCGCTTCAACGTTTAGGGTTTGGGTGTTAAGCTGTTTAGGGCTCAGTGCAGGAACGCCTGAATTTTGAAGTGTGCCTTAAAACCTCAGCGGAGCAAAACCCAAAAGCCCTGACCCGTGAAGAGTCTCGGAGATATAAGAAAGGGGTTTGTATGGTGTCTTAACATGGAGAACACGTTTTTGGGGGGTATACTATGTTGTAATATAAGGGGCTACCATTGCTAGTCATTCAAAACCCTCCATTAAGCTGTGAGGTTGTGGTTGAAGGTGGAATAGTATCCTAAGCCCTAAACCCTAAGTATTAAACCCTAAACCCTAAACCCTAAACCCCAAATGCAAATTCCGCGTCTACGTTCCTGAGGTCGGGCTTGGATCCTTTTTTAACCGGTGGTTTCGAAATTGGTAGTCGTCAGCTTGCCGTGGGCCTTCGCGAGGGTGTGGTTGGTTTAGGGTTTAGGGTTCTGCTCCTGACTTGCGACATGTTTGTCGAAAGTGGTTTCGAAGAGAAGCACGGCGGCTGCGTGGAGCGTGTACGCACGCAAGGGGTAGTCTTTGGGGAACTCGAACAAGTCTCGCGGAGTGTGATCCAGCGAATGCGCACGGTGAATCGGAAGGAACTTGTCCACAACGTCGGCCAGGAGTTTGCGACTAGGATTATGTTCAGCATTGGCCTCGCGGAACTCCGAAGCACGTTTGAAGCTTGGTCGAGTGTACAGGAACTTGAAGTCTAGCGTTTAGGGTTTAGGGTTCTGGGTTTAGGCTTAGGGGTTTAGGGTTTAGGGTTTAGGGTTCTGAGGGCCTAATGAAAATGAAGTTGGACCCTCAAGACCTAAGCATTCTTTCAACCCTCAGCTGCAAGTCCTCGAAACCGGAAATGCCTGGTAGAAGCCCAAAACCTGGAAACCCAATAGACTGAATCCTTACAGACTAATAATGTATAGGGTTTAGGGTTTAGGGTACCCAATAGCCTCAATCCTTAAAGACTAATGTATAGGGAATCCCAGCACTATTTGGCCCTAATCCGGCTTCTAACTTTATGCAATTTGTGCGTTACTATGAACCCTAAACCCTAAACCTTAAGCCTGTAAGACTGAAAGGTCAGTCTCAGGTCTGTTGGAGATTTTGCAGGGCTTGCAGCTTCGTGCCCGAGGTTTCCTTTTCGTGGTCTTGCCTGGAAAGTCCATCCACCCTCTTTTAGGGTTTAGGGTTTAGGGTTTCGATCCTGAATCGCTATCTACTGCCATATTGTAGGGGCCATATCATATACCCAAACTCAGGGTAAGGCAAATGTCCTGTCAGCGTAGGATTTGGTTTAAGATTGAGAGCAGTTTTTGAGAAAATCATGTTGTTATTAGGGCGGGCTTTGGGATTTTAATTTAAGCTTTGGGGTATAGGTATTCAGGCGGCCATGGAAGGGCTGACAACCCGCAGACAGCCAGCTAAGACCGTGGATAGAAACCCAGGTGGCAGAGGCGTCACTAACTAGAACACGGTGTTGGGGTAACCCTAAACGCTACACCCTAAACTGTCAGCCCGGAACCCTAAGCCCTAAACCCTGACCCCCCAACCCTAAACCCTATAGACCCTCAACACTAAACCCTAAACCCTAAACCCTAAACCCTAAACACCTAAACCCCTGAACCCTAAACCCAAACCCCTATACCCTAAACCCTAACCCCTAAACCCTAAAGCCTATACCCTAAACCCGAACCCCTAAACCCTAAACCCTAAACCCTATACCCTAACCCCTAAACCTAAACCTTAAACCCTATAATAAACCCCAAGCCCCTTCAAAAGGCTCATAATTAAACCCTAACCGCCCTAACCCCTAAACTGAGGAGGTCGCCTCCCATTGCTCGGTGTACTGCTTGATCTGCTCCACGAACTGTTGGACGACCGCGGAATAGCCGACACCCGCCTCTACGAACGGAGCTCTTTTAAGGGTTCCTTAAGAAGTCCGCTTTGAAGGACCACCTTAAAGTTACCCTAAACCCTAAACCCNNAAACCCTAAACCCTAAAGCCTTAAATGAACCCTTTAGAGGATCCCTTAAGGCTTTCGGGTGCTGGAGGTGGGGCTTTGGAGCTTAGGTTCGGGGCGCTCCAGTTGCCTGTAGCCCGGAAATGCCGAAGTATCTAAGGATCCTTCAAATGATTTCGCGCAGAATCCCTTGATGAACGTAGATTGCAGGATATCGGGATTGTGCAGGTGCTGCAAGGCCTGCCTCTGCCTATCTCGGCGTGCGCCTTCCCTTGTTGCTGAGCTTGCGGTGTAAGGTTGTGGGTGTACCAGCACCCCCCAAGCACGTTAAAGGGGCCCTTATGGCTCTTAAAACTGGGTACTTAGGGTCTAATGAGGGGTGGCTGGGGTGTTGCTAGGTACTCGGGCCCACACAACGCTACATGAAGACCAACGTGTCTTGGCAAAACTCGAACAAGATGATCCGCAAAGGTAGCTACTAAGCAACTCACGAAAAGGCCGCATAAGGGCGGCACAGTCGTGAGTCATGCTCTATGGCCCAGAGCTTTCGAAAGGCGCCAGAGGTACGGCTTCGCGTTTTCCGGGTAGTCTGGGGGGGGGGGGGGGGGGG